GTCTCTGTTTTCAGACCTGAGTGCTGACTCAGCAGCGAGGATGTGCCAGGTTCGGCACTCCAGGTGGATGCTGGGCTCCTGGTCGCGCAGCCCCTTGTCCAGCTGCTCCATGTCGGCTTGCGACAGGTGACCAATGACGGTTCTCTGTGCCTGCTCGGCCATGATTAGCTGCTCTATCTTCTTCTTAGCGTCACTCACAGCCTGTGGCAGAGAAATGGTTTTGACAAACAGGTATTGATACATTTTAATAATCTAATACATCTGCTCTCTGCTGAATTAACATGCTGTATCTCTTTTGTTTGATCCAGACAGAAACAGACATGTAAAAAAACACAGTTTGTAGTTTAACACAGCGCATGTGTGTGCAACACATCAAGAGTTTCAAAAAGTCCTCAGATTTCTTATGAAGTTCCAAAACAGAATTTTTGACAACAGTTTGGGAGGGGTTGAAACATTTATATTCTTTTTAACTGTAATTGTAAATATTACAATATATTTGACATAGTCATGCCTGGAAGAATCTTGTGACACTCTGAAATTAGACTGTACCATTTCTACCATCTCCTCTACCTGCCTCACATCCCTTGTGTCACACAAACACTGTAGGTAAATTTAAGAAGCAGTAGCTAATTATCTAGCTTATTTAATACACTTCAATTTCTTCAGAGTTTCTGAATAGGATTGTGTCAAGAATCTACAGATGAACTCTAATTTTAGCTAGTTTCTAACTTTAGCTTTAAGTTACAGTTTAGCTAACTAATGTTAGCTAGCTAATAGTACTTTATATACCATTACCAGACTAGTGCGGACTAGAGAGACCAATACATGATGAACTGATGAAGCCGCTTGGATAAGAGGCGAAACGTCTTCCACAGACAAATACAAGTCCAGTTGCCTTCGATTTAATTTGAGAGAGAGACCATTACCAATATAAAATACCATATATAATCTAATGTTAGCAATTACTGGTGCTGAGTCGAGAAGTGAGAAAATGGAGGATTAGTTGTTGTAGAGATATGTTTTGACATCAATACATAATAAATTATTTCATGTGGTGTTCTAATCTTTTACCTTTAACATTAGATTTTATAATAGACACCTCCTGCGTTATCACCAGTTTTACCTGGTTGGGTAATTGAACTCACCCCAACTGAGGTGTTGGGCACACACTGAAGCACTTTATGTTCTCCACTTTCACTCTGGAAAAATTGTTTATCACACTAATTTTCATTGTCTGCTGTCAACATGTTGATGTTATAACCCATGATTAGCGACTGCACCCATTTTTAACTCTGCCCACATTTTTTTTTACGACACACAGACACATAGCTAACCAACTCAGAACTGCTTTGACCACATTTTTCCATGATGACTCAGCTCTGGAGTCACGACTGGTGGAAAGCGATTAATGTTATATTTAACAAATTAATATTAATAACAATATTTCTCTTTTAAAGGCCCCTTTGTACAACACTGTGATTATAAACACAACAAGAATGAGTTTTGGAGTTCATCTCTTTGTATGACATACGTTATAGTTACAGTGACTAACACATATGGTACAAACACAAACAAAGCCAGTTTGTTTCCTCTTATTTGACTTACCCAGATTTGATGCTGGTCCGGCACAGTTTGGAAGATATTTAACAGGTGAAAGTGCAGTATAACGCTTTTAGTTGGAACAGAGTTGACTCAGATGCTGAGGAAGAAGAAATGGGGAGAGATCAAAAAGACAAAGTAATTAATTCACTCTTATACAGGTAGACAGTTCAAACGGGTAAAGAACAGGCGGGGAATAGGCAAAAATCCATAAACTAGTAAACTAAGATAGTCACATACCAAAGGAGCAGCCACTGGGTGAATATCTGAAGTGCAATGGTGACACAGCGGTAAAAGACGATCTAGTAGGCACAAGAAACACGGAAGTATACATGTACAGGGCTTTCCACGAGTAACACTAGGGGCAGGTAAGTCATTTGAGCATGGTGTGGCTGATCAAGAGCGAGAAATACAACAGGGCAGGAAACTATAACAACCGATGATTTAAATTTTAGGAGGAAGTGCATCTCTGTCTCAGCCTCACCTGTTGAACAGTGACCACATCTTCTGTTTTCTTTCTGCATGCAGTGTTTATATTGGGTGTTTATCCTAATGGGTTTAAGTTTGATGACTGAGCTATAATTCACTAAACTATGGGCAGGATAACACTGTCAAATATTTGAAACCAGATGTAATGCGACTATCCAAAAGATGCAACAATTAGCCGCTGAGAGGGCTGCGTAGGGAGATCTGTCTGTCACGCTGTGTCCAAAGCAAGACATGAATCGGCATCTGCGTCTTACTTGCCATTTATTTACAAGCACAAAAAAACACATATGCTCTGCAGCGATGTTGAGGCTAAACTGGACAAAATGTGGTCAACAGAAAGTATCAGCACCCCACCTCACCCTCTCTCTGTATCAAGCGACAAACAGAACTCTCAGCCAGGTGAGGGTGATATTAGACAACCATTCAGACCCCCGTGACACACACACACACACACACACACACACACACACACATTACCCCTGGTGAGAAAGTGAGAAAACACATCACTGCTCCTACATTCCGGCCCCTGATTATTATAACATAATAATTCAAAAATAATAACAGCAGCACAGAATCACTCAATGCAACATATATGCAAACAAGATGAACAATTAAATTTCCCTTTTTTTTCTCTTGAGTATATGAGTATAGTTCATCTTCAATGTCCTTAAACGAGCAGGTTCTTCACGTGTCTTCAAGTGTCTCTAGGCCAGAGGTTCCAGAACTTACGGAGCCTAGATCACGTGTGGTCTGTGCCACAAGTCACATGTCCAATGTCAAGTCAAGTCAAAACAAGTCATGTCAACAAGTAGCTCATCAGGTGTCGTCAGCTTCCTGAAGCAGATAAATCTTTGTGACAGGCCTGTCCAGACAGCTTGTCCTTGTCTTTATCTTTACTTGTTGTACGAGTCCTTTGTTATCTGGAACAGCTTCAACAACTCTCCCCATAATCCACGATAAGTATAATTGTCATGGTTTGCTATGGCAGACACTTTTTGTTAGTTTTGTTTTGGACTTTGTCACTTCCTGTTTTATTTTGTAATAAGGTTTCCTTGTGTGTCTCAGTGTTTTGCTTCCTGTCTTGGTCTTGTTTCTGTGTAGTGATTGTCTGCCCCGCCCTAATGTGTTTCACCTGTGTGCAATCACCTTGCCTCCTGTGTCTATATAGTCTTTGTGCTCCCCTTTGTCTGTGTCGGTTCGTCTGTTTAGTTCTGGGTTTGTCTTCATCTGGTCGCGTTATCTGTTTCTCCATGGTTCAAGCTATTCAAGTCTGGTTTGTCTTCGTTCCATTCTTGTTACCTGTTCATGTTACCTGTTGTTCTCTGTTTTAATAAACCTGTCTGCACCGTTCCCCAAGTTTTGGCTGCATTTGGGTCCTACTTACCACAATACCCTGACAATAATGTCTCCAGAAATGAAGTTGCACTTAACTCTGGTCCACTTTTGACGTTCCTCCATCTTTTCCAAAACAAATTGGACATATACTGCACTTGTTTTTATCTGCGGACAGCATACAAGTCCTCCTTTTGAAAGAGTCCAGGTGGCAATAATAACCTTTGAGGAGCAGGAGGTGGTTAGGAGTCGGCCTCTAGATCATTTGGATCTGTGGATGCCTTTCCATCCACAGAAGTGACTGTAGTTGCAAAACTACTTCCTTTAGTTCATACACGATGTTGGTAATTTCCTTTGCTGCCGTCTTTGCTTTTCACTGATTTTGATGCATCTTGTATGTCACTGAACGCAGGATCAGCTACAAATCTCACCTGACGCTCGATGAAGACGACAATGTCAGGGAAAGTAGCTCTACGACGATGCCTTTCTTGAATATCACAAGCCACTGTTCTCCATTTGTCTCTTAACTTGTACGGCAACTTCTTTATTACTATCTGCATATTGAAAGGCATGTTCAGCTCAGATATATACTGGATTTCATCCATAGCATTACAGCATCCTCTTAAAAAGAGACCATAATCTTGGAGTGCTTTGATGTCCTCTGCTTTGATTACAGGCCAAGCAAGGGCTTTGTCCATATAAGCTGAGGCGATCTTTTGCTCATCTCCAAAATGTTGTTCCAACAAAGCTTTAGCTTTCGTATATCCTCTGTCTGCAGCCATTTGTTGACAGCTTCTAACAAGCTCTCTTGGCTGACCCCTGGTGTACTGCTCCAAAAAGTGCACAGTCTCTTGCATCACTTGTCTTTTCTTCAGTAGCATGTTCAAAGGCTCTCATAAATGTGTGATACATTAGGGGGTCTCCATCAAACACCTGAATCTCTCGATTTGGTAAGGATGAGAGGTTTTGCTGATGTGTGATCATGGCAGTTATTTCGTTTTGCCTTGCCATTATAGACAGCAAGTTGTTACTGTCACCAGTGACTGGTACTGAGGCTTGTGCACCTGCAGACTGAGATGATGTTAAAACATTAGGCTGTGTGTTTTGAGCCATCCCAACCTCAGTCATTCTCTGTTGAAATGTTTGCGATTCCACATTCACAGTAGATTTCCTCTCTTTCAGCTTGGCACTTGAGACTCATTGATGCTTTTGGCTGTTGGATTTTCATATGTTGTTTGAGCTTCAGGCACAAATGATTTAGCATCAGCATTAAGACCAACAAGGGCACCTCCTTTGGTCATAGTATTGAAATAGGACTCCATACCATCTGATTTATTAGATACTCTGCTTCGCACACCACTTCTTGAGGCTCTTAGAACATTGACCTTGGCCGCTGTGGCTGCTATCTCCAGTTCAAGCTTAAATCGCTCTTTCCGTTTTCTTATTTCCTCTTCTTGTTGCTCCAGATCATGTTTCGGCACTTGAGTAGTTTTTGACGAGCAAGAAGAGCGGCCATTTTGGCTTCTGCTTTAACACGGGCAGAGGAAGTAGAAGAAGTAGTTGAAATCCTAGATTTTGATCTGTGCCTCTTACTGCTGATATTTGAGACGCTCTCACCTGGCTTGATTTCATCCAATATTGCCTCAGGTAAGGCATCCTGCTGTGATGTGATTTTATTGTGAAGATGTGGTTCCTCCAGTTCCACATTTTCAGAATCCTTGTCTCCTTCCAAGTTCTCCTTACTCATCTGTCCTTTACCCGAGACAAGTCTGCTCGTTAACCTTCCGCTTTCAGATAGCCACAGTTTGACATCATCAATAAACCCCTGAGTACATTTATTGATGCTTGTGAACCATTCATTTCGTTTCTTTTGCTCCTCTTGAGGTATCAAACACATTACTGACTCATGCAGTGAAATTGCATCATCATGCATTTGCATCAAAATATCCAAGTGAGCTTGCACTTACAGTGATGACACCCTTTAATTTATTCACCTTGGATTTGCGTTCTTTCTGGAGCTTCTCAATTTTACAAGCCAAAGCCTTTTCAGTGAGTGTGACATTTCTTTTAACATTTTCAGCATCAACTCCATTTGCAACCGGGAGAGACTCTGTCCCGCTCATAATGACGTCAACTAGCAGTGCGCACACGATAAACTTCAAAGAGCATCTGCCACAGTCCATTAGGGGGGATTTCTTGGGTAATTTTCTGTCCTATGTGCATGTGAGCACAGCATCCCTCAGGTGCAGCTCTGTCTCGATGGTGGCGGTCTTTTCTGCTGCATTCCAGTCCCATAGAACAGATTTCATTTTCACAAAACTCTCTGAGGGACATTATGTACGGTATCATCATGGACTTATTCAAAATAAAAAACAGCCTTTCAAACACTTTACAGGTTGTATTATCAGGTCATATCTTCATGTGATGTGACATTTAAAATCCATCCTGTATCAGAACAAACCAGACAATCAGATCCATACCATGCTCCAGACCTCTGGTGTTCTGTTAATACCAGCTCTGCTGCCCAGAAAAAGGCCATGCATCTATGTGCATTTCTCCTCGTATCTCCTGTACCTGATCAAGCTGTGTGCACGTGAGCTCAGTGTACCCACACTCTGTATGCTCCTGAACGCATCATTGAGTGAGCTGTGCAGGTGAGAGCTAGATGTCTGCCTTGGACCACAGGAACATCTTTAGAGTGTGTGACCATAAAAATGTGAGTCCAATATTCAATTGTTTATGTTACACACTGTTAGTCTTTATTTAGCTGCAAGCGCATTTTTAGTTAATTGTTGTTTCTCACGTGATGTGAATCAGAACTAGTAGCTAGCTTGTGATAGTATGTGAATTGTGTTTTACTGTATTACGTTAGCTAGTTTTTCTACAATCATCACAGATGTAATCACGTACAACAAAAAATTCCTGAGGTTGTTATTTCCCGTTTAAGATGAATAATTGTTCATTAGTGACTGTCATTTTTAAGTTAGGCAGTTTACATATTGATTCAGTATTTGCAAAGTGCTACTTTCTAGTTTATCAGTCATTACCAGCCTTTAGCATTGTATGCTAGCTGTTATCTGTGTAGATACTTATGTCTAACTGAGTTTACCTTGCTGTTATTCTTGATGCTAATTAGCTTGTACTGTTGTGTTCTATTGTTACAGAACCACACATAAAATCTTTACAGACTAACAGTCTGAACCTTGACCTGGAATCTGCGTCCCTTTTATTCGTACCCTCACCTGACCCGACACCCTGAAGTGATTGCTGCCACACCTATAGAGACATTCTCTCACACACTGTTTGATTCTGAATGTGTCAAATATGGAGAACTCTTTGCTGAGTGAACAAAGGGGGCCACAATGGCTGCAAACAAGATGAGAAGATCCAGGGCCATCTGAGTCTACAGGTATGAATCATAAAAAACCTTTAATATTGGGCTGACACCAACACCTTTTGGCTGGAAGCCTTCATCAGAATGTTGAAGTTAGAATATAGTAACACTTTAAGAAGACATGACACAAATGAGTTACAGGTGTATGGATATAAGGAAGGCGGGGCTACAGAAATCATAGATTAATTAATGCAGACTGTCTGACTTAGAATGAGAATAAAATGAAAAAATCAGAAAGGCTGGTAAAAAATTGCAAAAGAACTTCATAAAAAACTTGCAAATACAAAGAAAGTTCAGATAAGTCAATATCTTGAAATGCAAAATGAAGCTATAAATCACACAAATGCCACTTAAGAGCTAAGCAAACTAAAAGTTCTGATTTAGTACAAGAAAAGGTGAAAAACAAGGTCCAAGGTCATCTATTCTTAAGAGATTTGGTACTGAATTATGCCACCACTGCAACACAATGGAGGCGAATAAAATTTCATTTTCCATACTCAAAGCATCAAAAATGCATTTCAGTACTTGGTGGTGATCCACAGATCCACAGTTATGTTGCATAATCTATAGGTACCCAAGCTATGTCACTGAGACCTGGGGAGTATTAGAAAGAGGTTTTCCTGAACATGACTAAATGTGATTTATTTTAGAGACTATGCTCCTAAATAGAAAACAAGGTTTGCTCATGTGATTCACTAAAAGAATTATTGAAAACCACAGATGATTGAGGATAAAATAACAAATGATCAATCAAATTCTGATATTATGCTTTAGTGATATTCAAGGACTAATATCACTGTTGAACTGTACATCAGCTTCCAAGGCAACTGCCTCTTCATTAACATTTGTTTCTGTTTGTTTCAGGGTCTTTTGTTTTTGTGCCCTTTTGATACATTTTCCAAAAATGAACAACATGAAAACACAGTGGAAAAGGACAAGACTGATGCAGATAACCCAAGTTATAACTAATGACCAAAACAATTCCTTCTGTCTTAATTGACACTCCTGTAACAGCCTTTCCACTGACACCTTAACCTCTCTGAAAACTAACACCAGATGACCACATTCATCGTCATCACTGATCCAGCCTTCCAGTGCAATCTTAACAGCAGTTTGGTTGGATCCAAAGAAAGTCAGGAGAACTCTGTCTGACAAAAGTTGGCAGTCAAATATTGGTGATGACTTTGAGCTTAAGTATAAGACATCCGTGGCGTTGTCCTTTGCACAGTTGTCAATGGTGACTGAGCCGTGGTGGAAAGCCAACATGTAAACGTCATGTCCATCACCCCCGACCAGGTAATCACCACCAGTGGACACCAAGATGTCGTTGCCGTCTGAGCCTTTGAGAAGTGAACTTTCATAACCAGACACCAAGATGTCAGAATAGATGGTGCCGATCACAGTCTCTACGTCCTTTAACATGTCCCCCTCAGCATCAGCGTAGCGGCCTTGTCCGGTCAACAGATTGACATAAACACCTTTACCCTTCTCATGATCACCCCGGTAAAGAACAGCGTCTCTTCCGGGACCTCCGTCCACTAGATCCGCCCCTGGTCCANCCAAGATGTCAGAATAGATGGTGCCGATCACAGTCTCTACGTCCTTTAACATGTCCCCCTCAGCATCAGCGTAGCGGCCTTGTCCGGTCAACAGATTGACATAAACACCTTTACCCTTCTCATGATCACCCCGGTAAAGAACAGCGTCTCTTCCGGGACCTCCGTCCACTAGATCCGCCCCTGGTCCAGGAATGAAGATGTCACTGCCGGAGTTCCCCATCATTGTGTCATTTCCATCCTCACCATAAAGAGTGTCGTGTCCCAAGCCACCAATCATGAGGTCAGCTCCATTTCCTCCAATCAGTGTGTCATCTCCTTGGCCTCCTTCCAAGACGTCATCCTCCCACCCACCAATTAGAGTACTGTTTTGATGATTACCTAGTATGTCATTGGATTGGAAGGGGCAGCCTTGGACTGTATGGACCTTTGACAGATTTCTCTGAGAGCTGAGATCCAAACGGCAGTCAATCTGCGATGGTTTCAGAGTCACTTTGAAAGCTTCGATCTCAAAGGAAAGATCATCAGTTGAGTTTAGTGATTTCAATTTAAATGTCACTCCATCAGAGCTCTGAAATTCCAGATGCTGGTGATGGGAACCTTCAGCGTATTTGAGCAGAATGAATTGTAATTGTTCCCCTTTTGACGTGATTTTCACAGTCAGGTCTCCTGTTGATGATGAGTCCAGTGTGACTTGGCCGCCATCGATGAAATCCATGTCAACCAACACAGTATCAATATTCTGATCGTCAGCAAAGTTACAGATAAGTAATATGTTTCCATATCCATGTCTGATTATGTAAGTGTCTTTTCCTTCACCTCCAATCATCAGTGCACCACCGGTGTAAGGATCAAGCAAATTCTCATTCCTGTTCCCAACCATAATGTCGAAACCCGGGGAGCCGTACATTTCTCTCACTGAATCAGTTTCATTCATCATCATCGCTTTGCCTCGGAGGTCAAGGAAGGACGTCTGGGCCATGTGACTACATCTGAAACACCTGGACTGTTCTCCTAGAGGGAAAATGAGTGACTGGAATATTTGGAATGTGTTAAGTGGTTCAGGTTCCTGGTTTCTGTAATCAACAATCAAGGGAAGCATTACAGACTTGCTGCAGTTGACGAGGTTGGAAATCAGTTCAGCTGTTATTCCATCATTGGTCTTGATCTGCAGGTGCTGATGACGCTTTGAATCAAACCAGTTCTGTAAGATGACATTTCTTCTGCCGGATACTGAAATGATGATGCTCTGGCCTTCACAAGCACATGTTACATGCTGATATTGTTCTTTCAGGAAGAGAACATCTAAGACTAGATCTGGTGATTGATTGTTGATGGTCTTTACACCGTGGCCTGGTGTGATAACGTACCAGTCCTCTCCTCCTCTTCCCTCAATGAAATCATCCCCTCCTCCTGGAACGAAAACATTATGTTCTTTGTTTCCTTTGATGACATCATTAAACTCTGACCCACGGACCTCCGTCACACTGTCAAAAGCCTCGTCCTCCTGAAGGTCCACCACCAGACGAGATGGGGAGCTGCTGTAGTCAATGCTGCGACTTTTTATGCACTTGGTGAACGGGTTACTCTCCAGGCAGTCAGCCTTGTTATCTGAGATTGTAAAAGTGATCAGATCCTTTGTGCTGAGGAGTAAGTGTCTGTCTTCTGGTGATCTGAACCAGTTCAGTAAAGTCACATGGATGGCTGTACTGTCATGGAGAGCATTCATCAGAACATGGTTACCTTCTACCCTGACTTTAAAAGTGTGAAGATTTGCTTCTACTATGACCAGATCTGTTTTATTGTCTCTGGAGTAATTGTCAATCTGCACCGAAGACTGTTTCTTGTTTTTCACCAGATATATGTCTTCTCCTTCACCACCAATCAAACGATCTGAGCCTCCTCCTCCATCTATCAGATTCTTCTCTCCATTTCCAATGAGCACATCATCATACTGAGTCCCAAAGATGTTTGTAACTGTAAGTAAAAGTGGCTGAGATGCATTTACAGTTAGACCCTGCGTCTTAAACATCTTGTTAATTCCTCTTGCCACCAGCTGAACAGAGGAAACCACAGTGGAGGACACCTCAAATAAGACTCCATCTTTTGATATCATGTTCATATGACGATACACTTCCCCTGAAAACCAGTTGTTAATGGTCACAGTATGGCTGCCCTCGTACATTAACACAACATCATTCCCAGATTTAGACACAGAAATGTGACTGTAATCAACACTGAAATGAAGAGTGTCTAGTGCTTTGCAAGGATCATAGTTGTTAATTATTGTTTTCCCTCCATCGTCAGGAATGATGTACGTGTCTTTTCCACCAGAGCCTTCAACATAATTTCTCTGTGGACCGAGGAAGAATATGTCATCACCTGGTTCACCATACAGCTGGTAATAGTAACTCAACATTAGTTCAATCACATGTTTGTCCTCTGATTTCTGAACTGCAAAAAAACGATTAGCATCTCTGTTTCCCTTGTATATCCCATATTTTGAATTTGATACAGCTTCATAACCTGAAACAACATCCACAGAGCCAGCTGGTATGAACATGAGTACTTTTTTCCGTAGTGTCGAATACTCTAATCGATGCGACTCTCCCAGGCCAAGTATGATGTCTTTGGTTCCTTGTGCATCAATGGACCAACAATTCTTCCCAAAACTCTCATCACTAGACACAAAATAGTTCATGCAGAACTCAGACAGACCCTGATCAGCGAGACAGAAGTAAACGCCTCCTCCATTCCAGGACGAGACACCATCACTAAAATTAATGACAGTTCTCTCATCCCGCTCCTTTGTAATATTGTAATATTGCTGATAGTCTGATATCTGAGCAACAAGTCTTCGTCCCTCCTCAATTTCATCATAATGCCAATCATAGAACACACTAGCCACATGAATTGCAAAATGCTCAATCCCTTCTCCAGTGCCAACAAAAACAGCCCCCAGTTTATCTAAAACTCCAGCATCCTTCGGGAGATTCTTTAGTTCATCCTGGATGCCCATATAAACATCATCAATGGCCATCCGGACTACTGACAGTGCCAGGTTTATAGGTACGATAAATGGTGCAAGTTCAGGCTGAGCAATTTCGAGAACATCCAAAGCAATCATACCAGCATCAACGCCAGCATCAATGTATCCCAGTGTGTCATTTCTCTCTAAATCTTGTTCTAAATTGTATACCCCAAATCCAATTCCCACTATTGGTATAGCTGTCATTGCGCCCCTCATTGCAGGGCTTCTCATGATTACTGCTGCAGCTCTGGCAACTCTTGTCTCTGAGGACAGAGCTTGTTTTGCAATAACAGACGTTGTCATAGCTGTCACTCCATGAGCTGTTTGCAAAGCCCCCACCACACCATCTTTGATGTCGCCCTGTTCAAAAGCCCGAATAGCTCCTTTCATCCCCAGCATGAGGCCTAGTGTCCCAACAGCAGTCCCAGTGTGCTCTACATACTTGCTGACCTGATGAGAGGATTGTGAACTGTGTTTCTCCATGTCACGAACTGCTGCCTCAATGCCGTTCAACATATTATCACTGTAGCGTTGACTCTCTGGAGATAAATCAACCCTCAACTCACGAGGTTCAATGTCAGCACCCTCAGTCACAAGCTGACATACGAACTGTCCATTTTCTATTCTGGCACTGCCCTCTTTGAGATGCAACCCCGCCAGACTTTCACCATATTCTGCCTTCAGCTGGCTGTGGATTTGATCAGCAAATGACGCAGATGTCCTGAAGAAATAGGATTCAAGTCTGAAGGAATTCTCTAATTCTGAGGCAGAATTCAGGTCTTGCAACGTGATGTAGCCATCATCATTGCCTCCCAGTGTTCCAGATGTTGAATCTTCCTGGACATTTCTAGATGATGTTGAAACAGGTTTATTAACTTTTTGTGTGAAATCATTGTAACTCTCTGAGAATACCTCTCTCTGTGAACTGTCTTCATATATCTTGAATTGTTCTGCAATGTCAGCCATTGATTGTGGTACATTTTCCCTTGTAGTGGATTTCTCCCAGTTTGTGAACATGTCAGATTCCAATCTTATAACATTTATAAGGTCCTGCATTAACTGATCCTCCGTTTTTTTAAATAAGGGATTGTGATTGTACAGTTTGCTGGAACCTTGAGGTGTTGCTGAGCCACTAAATCCACGTCTGCTTGGGTCAATCCAACTTCCTCCTCTTGCCATTGGGTGGTCTTCAAAAAAGAAATTGAGTCCTTTCTCTCGGATATTGTTGTTTTTATTTACGACCATATCCAGAGCCATGAGAATCAGAGGAAACGTCCGGAAATTTCTAGCAGATTCACAAATAACTGATGCAGTGAAATAAGTGGTGTACCAGGCCTCAGTGGACAGAGATTGGGCAGTTGTGTGCTCTCCACGAAAAATATTTCTTACAAACTCAGCATATCGTTCTTGTGGGTTTTCTATATTTTTATGAAGAATGCGCTGTCTCATGTCTGGGTATTTCTCTTTTCCTATCTGATCATTGATAGACTTCTTAACTTCTTTAATTTTGTTCTTCTTTCCCATTTGATTACTGTCAAGCTTTTTTCCAACCAGATACACATATAGAGTTTTAGGATTAACCAAATATATCCAGTCATTGACCATCAGGTATGTGAGCTTTTCTTCTCTGGTCACTGCATAGTGATGGATCATATTTCTAATATCTTTTCCTGATTTAATCTCATTACATTCAGAAAGAACTTGAAGTTTCTCTGTATCCAGTATCCACCTCATGTTATTATATTTTTCATTATATTCCCCTATTAGATAATTTGCATTTGGTGGCAAGCTTTTGATGTTTGTTCTTTCTGGAGGGGGCCCATGAAAGAATCCCCAGGTTAGAGCTTCAAGTTTATATAAGGCATTTTCCTGCTGCTTAGCATTCACTACATTCTGAAATACCCTCTTGTCAATATATCTCCTTGGCTTTAGCGTGTTGTCTGTGTTGGTCTTAGACAGCTTATTTATAGGTTTTCTAGGATTTTCGTCCATTAGAACATTTCTTTCATTGGTAAAAACTGGCTCTCCTCTACTGCCAGGCTCATTTCTAATAATTACGTTTCCGTTCCTATCAAGGGTTGCCACCACTTTCTTGCTGTTATCTTTGTGTCGCCATTGCACCCCGTCTAGAGAGACTTCTTGGGTAATTTTCTGTCCTGTGTGCGTGACCTGGATCACAGTATTACTCAGGTGCAGCTCTGTCTTGATATTGAGTTTATGAAGCTCTCTCAGCAGGGTTTCTACAAATGTTTTATCTGATCCGACTTCACATGCCACCACACGTGTTGTTTTGATTGTATCGCCGACTCTGAAGGTCTTTGCAATGATTTTGGCCACATCTTGGGCTGTGTGCCCTGCCAGCCTCATCTCTCCTGAACTGTCTCTGACTCCATGACCTACCAGCACCAGTTTGCTGTCCTCTGACAGTGGCACTGAGTCTCCGTGGATCAGTTTTGGTCTTTGGTTTTCATCAAGAACGTAGATGGAGCTAACTGTTGGATGCTTCTCATAAAGATAAGCAGCAGCTTTTCTTACTGCGGGGTCATCTTGCATCATGAGGATCTGCTGGTCGTCGTACTGTGTGGTGTGATCTACGGGTCTTTGTGGAATTCGGTAACCGGAAACTGAGTCATGTTGATCCATGACCTGGTAAATCTGATGATTTTCCTGGTTAGTTTCTAAGACTGCTTTGTTTCCACAGACCACCAACACTCGAATGAAGTTATACTGGAAATGTGTGGTTGTGTTTCCATCAAGGGAGAACACTGGTGCAGCTTCCAGTGATGGTTTCAAAACCAGCTCTGCAAGTGATGATCCAGAAAGCCCAGACACAGTTTGTCCATCATCTGAAACTCTTCCAAATATTTTCACTACAGTATAGCTGTCTGCTTCAGGTAAACATGATTCATTGTACAGGCATTCTTTGCTGACTATTAGTGAGTAATGAGGATCCATGCTGTATTCCTGTTGGACTCTGTCATTCGTGGACTTTTCTTGGTCAGTCATGACCAGAAGTTTTTGGTTGTAGCTGTGTGAGATCTCAGATGCACCTAGCAGTCGATCTTGTATCTTCTGTTCATCAACAGATGCCAAGAAGGTGTCAAAGTCCTGGAGAATAAAAGACAGCAGATAATCAGGTTCAAATCAGATCAAGATAAAACGACAGATTTTGATATAGAAAACTTTATCATAGATAAGTGAGAAAGCATGAATGTCCATTTCAAAACAGTTCCATGTAGTTGTCTTAATCTCTTCCTCACATCCCACAACTGTGAGGAAATACATTGTTGAACTGTAGTGGTACAACTTTTATTTTTATTTTTTCTGTGAGCGCATTTATATAAGATATTGTATCTCATTCCATTTTATCGGCTATATAATCTCTTTTAATAACTGCTTTTATTAATTAAACTGACTGATTTGGGTTGACTGGGTTTAATTCTTCTACACTCAATGTTGATTCCCATCTTCTTTTAAAATCCACCAACCTGTTTCATTTGATTGACACAGGCTGTGAAATCCTGACAGTCCTGAAACGCATCCAGCAAACTCATTGTGTTTTGGTCAGTGTCCACCCTAAAAGAACATTAACATGTTTATGTCACAGAGGAGTAAACAATAATCAAATAAATTCATTAAAACCAGATGAAGACCACATGAAAAACAAATGTCTTTGGTAAAAAGAATTTAAATATTTTGTGATGCTGTAGCAAGGCGTCAGACTGTCTTTTCTGTAGCATTTTATTCTCAGAACAGATTTCAATTGTACAAAAATGTCAGTCCACATGGACTCTGACGGACATGATGATATTCAAGTGATGTGACTATTAGAATCCATCCTATACCACAACAAATGGCCAAAACTAACCAGATCCATCCCATGCTCCAGACCTTTACTAGTGTTCCCAGACCTAGTGACAATTCTGCATCATGTAACTTTAGTCAAAATAAAGAATGAAGGATAGCACGGTAGTTTTGACTCATCAGCATATTTACCAGGATGCATTTAAGTTAATGAGGAGGCAAACAAAAAAATGTCAATACATTTTCAGTATATTTCATTAATCTTAAAATAATAATAATAATAATAATAATAATAATAATTTATTAGTAATAGGAAATTAGTTAATTTGAATAAATAATTCCACAAAATGTAACATTTTTAGAAGAAACCCTGAAACTATTTGATCAATAAATGAATGTTATATAGACCTGCAACAAGTGATTCTTTTCATAATTTAAGAATCTGGAGATAATTTTTTCTGCCCATTTACTGAACATCACAATTTCCCAATGCCCAGGCCGATGTCATCAATTTTTTTTTTTTTTTGTCTGACTGTCTGACCCCCAAAAATATTCAGTCATAGCAACAACACAGCATAAATACCTCCTTACCTCCTAATGGATCTCTCAGCTCTGGCCCGGTTCATGGATGTGTTCCTAAGATAAAATACAGTCATCATTACTTTTTCAATGCACATTCCTTTCGTTCCTGACATTAGCTGATCACAGATATATTGGAGTATATGTTGGTTGAGTATAAACTGTGTCAGCCTTAAGTCTTGTATTGATCAGGCTGTACTTTACACTCAAATCCAGTACTAAGATGTTCACTTTGGATTCTGGGTCCTTAACAAGTGGTAAACTGTCACAAAATTTGAAGCAACATTAACCAACTATTTTACCTTATTAATCATTTTGATAGGACACTGACTTGTAATAGGGAGAATGCTGCCTCTTTTTGCACAGTGTAACTTTGCTGAGCAGGTGTTGCAAGAAGTGCCTAAGTGAGTTTCTGTCAGGGGCTCAAACTGCCAGACTCAGGCCCAGCTAGTTCAAGAGTAATGCCGAACTGTAGATCAGTTAGAAAGACTTAGAAGTCATTAACAACCAGCGTTCATCTCTGATATTCAGCGACGAAATATCAAGAACTATAAATGGAGTTTGGCTTGTTTGTCACAGCATTACATTTCCAGATTGGGATGCTGTGGATCATGAGGAGTATACACCGCTCTACGGTCAAACCAACAGAATTAATTAGCACCTGTGGCTGCAGAGGTCACTGTTGCTCAGCAGAAGTTACACATTGTTGCTTTAACATAATTTCAAAATGTCAACAATGGAACCACAGTATAATTACTATTATTATTATTGTAAAAAATGACTGTGTTACTCTAATAAAATAATACTATGTTTATACTTTGAGAGCTTTGACAGAAACAGGAAATACAAAATCTAGGCAACTAGAAACAAACTCTGTCCCAGAGCCTTAACAGCTGCAGACATTGACCCAGATACCTGTGGTGTGAAGGCTCCTTCAGCCTTTCATGAAACATGTTTTGAGGCAGTCCTCTGAGGCGGTGCAGTGCAGCGATGTCTGGGCCGAGCTGCTGCCACTCTTCATCTCTCACCTCTGAAGTTGAAGCAAACGTCACATTTAATGATCCACAGGATCAGCTGCAGGTTTTTCTTATGCTCATTCTTACTGACTGACGTCTGCAGTAAAACCCAACAGAGACGCCAGCTGAGTGTTTGCTGTTATTAAAGCACACTCACTGTTACTGTCGTGGATCATATGAAAGAAAAGACATTAATTAATGTAGTGTGTGATTGATGTGTTATCTGAGTTATAATGTGTCCTGACAGTTTTGCTCTCTTACTGTGGTAAAAGTAAAACGAGGAAGTTCAGAATTCAAATCAATAAAAATCACTTCTGTTAAACGGCCTGTAGGGGGAGCTCTTGTCCTGGTCTGTGCCTCAGTCACTGATTCACTGAGGTGAGTGAGAGACAGTTGCTGTACTGATTTCACACAAGTTGTGTCTTCCCTATTCAGAGTTGTGGTGTTACCATGGTAACCACAGGTATTGCCAAATCAACCAGGACTGAATCTTAAGGGTCACAACTTTAAAGATGTAGAACAGAGTCTGAACCTGAGCTTCGTTAAAATGTCAAATGTTTCTTACTAAACGGTTCAGTGAGGATGACGAGGCTGAAGAGGATCAGGAGCCTCAGTCTCCACCGGCTCTGCCTCCGACCTGCCATCACGCTGCAAAACATCACACACAGAGACACACACAGGACTGAGTCACGCACGAGCCTTTACAATTAATACTCCAGTTTTACAACATCTGTTAAGTCTCGTCCGTTAGTGGCATGTGTTAAGAAAAATAACGTTTAGATTCTTCTCCATCATCTGTCCATCATCATTCGTCCTGCTGCAGGACAACGAGTCCAAACACACAGCCAGAGTCATAAGGAACTATCTTCAGAGACCAGAAGAAGAGTCCTGCAGCAGATGGTCTGGCCCCCACAGAGACCTGATCTCAACATCATGGAGTCAGTCTGAGATCACATGAAGAGACAGAAGAACTGAGGAAGGTTCTCCAAGATGTTGGAGAAACCTACCTGCCCAGTACCTGAAGAACTGTGTGCAGGAGTACCAAAGAGGACTGATGTTTAATGTGGTGGAGATTTGCCACAGTGCTGTGTTGAAAAGTCATGACACATTTGCATTTATTTATTCGGCACACAAAATGAGGTACAATCCAAGCCACTGTTCAAGGGGAAGACGTAGACAGAAGAAGTTTGAGTGAAGTGCACTGAATAGAGCGTACTGTATATATACAGCTGAGTCTCTCAGCTTCTCCTCTGACTGGTGGTCCAGGACCCCTGATACACACCTCAGTGTTCCTGGAGCTGAGTGAGTAAATGATGTCAGGACTGTGGTTTGTCTCTATGTGCACTGTGGTTAACAGTTGACTGTGCAGCCACAACATACGGGATTCTCTGTCTGGGATTCTGTGTCACAGACCACATCCTTGAGGAAAGTAGCATGCTGCAGTATCTTTACTGTTTATGACTTTTACATCTTTAAAAGCAAAGTCTCCTACAATCAGAGTTTGCAGCCCAGTCATTAGTTTTCCCTGCTGCCTTCAGCTTTAAGAAGTCAGTCAGAAAAACAGGAAACACTTCCTTGTGATTATAACAGAAAGAAAACCTGGTTGATGCGCACACACACACACACACAAAATCAGATCTAGTATGTTCATTTCCCACAAAGGCTACGCCTCCTCAGGAATCAGAAGTGACATTGTCTTCTGTTGTCATGAATTAAAACCCCAGTGATTTATGGGTACTCAGGAAAAACAGTAAAGAAGTGTTGTAGTTAAATGTATTTAAGGTGCCTGAAGAAAATCATCAAACACATTTGAAATAGTTACTTAATTTATTGAAGTTGAAATCAAAACCAGAACTTCAGAGTCCAGGACTTCAAACAACCACTAAACATATTTCCATTAAACATAATGAGGAACACTGAGAAACTCTGAGTTCACCTGCTTATATGAAATATGTTCTAGTTACAGTTGATAACACAAACTGTATACACACACACACAAAATTTCAGTTTGTTTGGTTTGATGGAACTTACCCAGATGTGACCCAGGCCCTGTGCAGTCTGAAAGACATGTAAGAAGTGAAAGTACAGAGCGCTTTATAAATAATCGTTTGTGCTCTTCAGTAACAGCAGTCTCCACCTACTCCAGTATTACTGGACAGTTGTGTTCTTAGAAATACCAGATTTACCAGACTATGAAGCTGTTTTTATTGTCTTTTTTATTTCCACTTTCCTCTTTCTTCATCCACTCCGGGAACTCAGGCCAGGACAAATGTTGTAAACCTGAAACTGAAACAACACTTTTTTTAACTCCACTGTCTTTGTTACCAGACTTCTCTTTACCAGACTTCTCTTGATTGAAATGACATTTTTAATAATGATATGCTGATACAGTGATAATCTTACAAAAAACAAGCTTGTAATTCATTCTGTACATCACAAAATAAACACACCTCATAAAATCGCTTTGGCCTTTCATGAATACAGTCCAACAATAATGAACCTCAAGCACTGGAGAAATATTCAATTCCTGGCACCAGCACATAGTTAAAAATACCATAGACTGAAAGAACCTCTTCCCTTTAAAAAATGAAGTGTCACAAGGAACAATATATAGATCCAGTAGAGAAATAGTGATGGTTCAGACCCTTTGACTAAGTCAAAGTACTAACACCATACTGTGGAAATACTCTTTTACAAGTAAAAGTCCTAAAAAATAAACTGTATAAATGTCCCCTGCTGGACTGTTTAACTATTCTACATTATATACTATATATTATGTTATTAAATATATATAAATATATATGCTATATTGTCTGACAATGTGCAACATACCACACTTTCAGAGCCCTGTAGGTGTTATGAAGGAATGCTTTTCATACATCTGTCTCGCAAATGTAATAATTTGCGTGTTCTGAAAAAGCTGCCCGAGGGGTTCTCCTTTGTTTATAAAAATAATGTTGAAAAATGTATTATTCAGTCTGATATGCAACAAAAACATTGTTGTTGTATCATCATAACAAACACACTGGGCAGAATTCAGATTTCAAACTTTATTTAAAGGCAGTTTAAGTTTAAAGGAACATGGCCACAGCACTTGTAGTTACAGTGTCTCCACTCGATCAAGTATCATGGGAAATTGTTTTGAAAATAAGTCTATGAATCTATAGCCAACATGCTGATGTTTAGCATGATGTTTGCCATGCTTGTTGCTAGTGTGTTAGCATGGTAAAATTTGCTAATTAGCACTTAATAATTAGCAATACAATGTCCAGCTGAGGCTGATGGGAATATCATTAGTTTTTGCAGATATTTGGTCATAAGTGTTGGATGAATCCAATTTTTGATGGCACCAGATGAAAAGCCAGAGGATCAGCGGCCTTAATAGCATTCATCCTCTGGGGACCAGGAATGTCCGAACACAATAATCCAACCAATATTTGTGGAGATATTCGAGTCTGAACAAAGTAGGCAGACCAACAGAACGATACTGCCGTCCACAGAGTGGTGGCCAAAAATACCAGAAAGCTAATGCTGTAGCCCAGATATTATGTTTCAGAATGAAAACACCATTTACCATTTGTAAACTACCATCCAATGGCAGGCTATTACAATATGGGATGAGCAAGGGTTAGCTGTTTAGCATGCTAACTTCAGTAGAAGAAAGGAACTGATAGAAACAGAAGCAAAATAAGAGTTGACATTGGTATTATTTTCCACCACTGGAGGCAGCTCCTGGTGCGTAAAAGAATGAAATTGGATGCTGAACTCTGTGTTTCTTCTACACTAGTAAGTAAACAGCTGTTAATGCTAACCTTGGTTACGTAGCAATAGCAAAAACTTTCATAAATCACCTTTTAGAAAGATTTACAATTTTACAGCCATTACAGAAGTTATGAAACTGATTTTGTAGACTGAATTAAAAACAGATAAAACAGTAAATTTCTTATCAGAACTTTTGCACAGTGTGATCATGGTAGTTTATGTAAACGTGATAAGGTATTCTGGGTAAGCCTGTATGTCACTGAAGATAACAAATATGGCTGGCTTGGCAGTGTTATCAGCAACACTGTCATAGAGGTCTGCAGCATTCCCAGAGCCTCTGGCGGGTGGAGTGATCATTCCATTTCTTCCAGTGGTATAGTCTCCAACCAGGACCCTGGCGAGGTACATGCGCTTGTGCCCCCTGATGTCTGGCTTGGCATAGCCTCCCGCCGAGTAGGCAGGGTCCACTGCAAAGTAGGAACCATTGCCATACATCGCACCTGCAGCAAAAATAAACACATTAAACAGACTAAACCACCATTCATCATTAAATCAAATACATCAATGACATGGTTTCCAGATCTGGATAATTCCCTCAGGTTGAATTAGATCATTGCTGCTGCATCATCGGTGCTTCTGTCCACTATGAAACTTGAACTGCTGTTAACTTTCTTCTTTTTTTTTTGTCGGACACTGAAGTCCAATAACAGAAAAGAGCAGCTTCAGAGAGTTTATTAAAAACCAAAGTGTTGGACAACTTAACATTTTGACCTGATGATGGCGACTGAGGAAACCAGTGGGTCACCTGAGTCAGTAGGATACAGGGATCATATACGTCAGTGTGTTGAGATACTTCTCAGGGTGAGTGACAACTTTGACCTGCTGGTGGCACTAGATAAAAACTTAGAGACTTACTAAAGTCAGTAGGATTAATCCTCTGGGGATCATGAATGTCTGTATCCAACCAAATTGGTGGACCAACAAATTGACAACACCATCCATAGATTAGGAAGATTAAGGGTTAATTTCAGATCATGGGGCTCGATGCATGAATGAAGCAGCTGATACCACTCAGGTAATCCAAGCATTGCTCTGCTAACCAAGGCTGTGCCTCATTAAAACCTTGCCAAACCTTAACCACACTATGAATCAGTTTTATTACAGTGATTTCTAATGGTTTTAAAGAGTAGTTGCTGTAATTACCAATACTGATGAACTAGTTTGTCCCAACACTAATGTATAAATATTCCACCTGAGGAGTCAGATGTGCGAGGCGGTGGTTACCGTGTGCTCCTGCGTAGCTGCGGTTGAAGCCCTGGTTGTTGATGAGATCGATGGAATTGGCACCGGTGCCGTGAAACAGCAGCTTTTCATTGTTGGTGTGTTTGTTCTTCACCTCCAGTTGTTTCTTCATGAGCTGGTAACTCTGCCACAGTGTCTTATTTTGAACCCGTTCAATCTGCCACCAGAGTTACAACACAACACGTTAATCGTTCTGTTAATCATTCTCACTCTGCTGCCTGAATGTGGTTTTTAATTTGTGTCTTTCCTAAATATGATGAACATTATTTTTATAGTATCAACAAATGACTGTATGTAAAGATGGATGACTGGTCTCCACTTCCTTGTCAGTTACATTGTGAGGATTATACATATAAACTGATGATCTGATTGTTTTGAAGAAAGAGGGAGTAAAGATGCAGTAATGACTTTGACTATTGTGACTTTAGGGGATGATAAAACTGAAATTATAACATAATAATACAGTTAGAATGATCAGAACGTGAACATACACTGATAATGTTTGGAGTAAGACCGGTCTTTGTAAGTTCTGTCTCCACATCACTGTATTCCTTAGATCCCGCCGTCAGAGGAAACAGCTTCACGAGGTCGCCTTTCATGTCGTCCCAGTGTCCAGGCAGAGCGGTGTCATCTGCAAACATCGCAACAGGAGTGTTTGTTTGAAGGTAATAAAGGGTAAGATGCACATATACAGATATTTTCATAGCCTTGGCCATCGTTCATCTCACTGTTTAGACTGCAGCTGTCACTTTGTATTTCAAATTTGAATTAATATATGAACCAAGACAAAACATTTGATCTGTAGTGAATGTCCAGTGAAATGGGATTCAAACCAAGAAAGGGCATTGGTTGTGGTTCACTGTATCGAAGATTTTAATCAGACAATTGAAAGAATTTGACCCAGAATCAAAACCTGACTTACCCTGATTAACTGTTTTCATTTTTCTCACCAGTTTTATCCTTTATCTTTCCGGCGAACCTTCAGCTCTATTGGATTACTTTTGCCAAAATGCACCATGGGAGTCGTAGTTGACTTCTATTCAGTTTTTATATCTACAGGCCTCTTGTACCTTTGACTTTTATCACAGAACAAATTATCAGAAAAATAAAATTACATTCTATAACTTAATTTTAGATCAGATAAAATGGTGAAAGTTGTAGTTTACAGTGTTTGCCCATAAGAGGACACTATTTGTTTGAAAACTTTTGGACTTTGGACTGTTTTGGACACTTTATGTTGATTTTTTGGGATTTGATTTATTTCCTGTTTTATTTTGAAACCACTTGCCTTGTGTGTCCCATATTACTTTACTTCCTGTCTTTGTCTTGTGTTTCCCTCCTCTTTAATTGTGTGCCCCGTCCTAATTTGTTTCACCTGTGTTCAATCACCCTCGCCTCCCTTGAGTCTATTTAGTGTCTGTGCTCCCTTTTGTCTTTGTCAGTTTGTCCTGTTTTCTCCGGTTGTACTCCTGTGTCACTCCAGTGTTCTGCAGTTGTATTCCAGTGTTTTCCTGTGGACGTCTTACGTTAACTTTCACTGTCACCTTTGTGTTTCCCCTGTCGTGCTCCTGTGTTTCCTGACTTCTGGGTTTTTGTTCCTGCCTCGGTTTTTGGAAATCTTGGTTACTGTTTTTTTTCCTTTGTTTAATAAATCACCTTCTTCACTTACTCTTGGATGGTCTGCATTTGGGTCCTAAAGAACACGCATAGAGGACCCCAGTAATGAAGTCTGGCAGCTAGTGACCAGTCAACCCCCCCCCCCCCCAATCAAAGCAGTCTAGAAAAGGTCTGCCACCAAAAATAAGCCCGAAACAAACATTTAGTCATTTCAAATCGTTAAAATCTGTAACATGTTGGGCGATAATGTTCTCCTCACTTTGTTATGGACTGTGATTCTGGTTGTACCGTACATAAGACCGTGTTTCTTATTAACAGGTAAATTGATGATTCACACAATAATGACTCACCTTTCAAGTCTTTTCTGAGCAGCTCCACCTCTCTTCGCCCATCCTCCGAAACTGCTTTTCCAAACAGTACGTGAGCGAAGTACGTTTCATTGTTGATCTTGATCTTCACCTTTTCTTTTCTCTCCAGAGCCTCCTCCAGGGTGAGGTTGGTGTTCATGTCGAAGGGCACCATCATCCCACTGGAGTGCTGAAACTGCCATTCTACCAGTGCACTCAGCATCAAGGCCTTGGTCTTCAAGTTCTCAGTCCTCTCCACCCTCCGGATGATGTTACTGATGGTCAGAAACAAGATAAAGAAAATAAATACTTTACCACGTAGTACTCCAGACTGAAGCTTTATCATGTATTCTCTCTCCTTTGTTGTGTCATAAATCACTGTGGTCCCTGTTTTCAGACCTGACTGCTGACTCAGCGGTGAAGACGTCCCTGGTCAGGCCCTCCAGGTGGATGCTGGGCTCCTGGTCCTCCAGCCCTTTGTCCAGACGGATGCTAACCGTCAGCTCCCTCTGCAGGGCCCTCAGCTGCTCCACGTCGGCCTGCGACAGGTGACTGATGAGCGGGTCGGCGATGGTTCTCTTCGCCTGCTCGGCCACAATCAGCTGCTCTATCCTCTTCTTAGCCTCGCTCACAGCCTGTGACAGAGAAATGGTTGTGAAGTTACAGACAGGTATTGATGCATTTTAATAATCTCATACATCTGGTTTGTGCTGAATTAATATGCTGTATAGTAAAAAAACATTTTCTGCCCAGTTCCACAGCTGCTGCACACCCCAGTCACGCTCATGTGTTGTGGTTTGTCAGTTGATTGTTGTTTCAGACGGGATACAGGTATGTCATGATTATTCCTTGTGATTTGTCTAATCCATCAGTCTAAGATGCAGGTCAACTCTGACTCTGTTGTCGAAGGATCAATCCGATGATAAAGATTCAGTTTATATGAAACTAAATAACTAGTGTTTGTGAAAGTTAATAAGCTAGCCCACTGATCACCACATGAAACGCTTGGCTGTACGAACAGTTGTCCTCAAGTCGTCCTCACGTAAAAGGCAACGACACGTTTTGTATGAAAACAGATCTGTGGGGGAACTGTAGGCTAGTAACGTCACTTAGCGTTAGCTGCTTTTATTGTCCTTCACCAATCACATCCCTATTGTTGAACAGCAGTGTTCCATCCATCCGCCCACTTCTCCAGTGATAGCACAGGTTGCCAGATGTGGTCCGGGAGCACAGGTTTAGTCTGGGTCTCTGTACAAACACGATGGTACTAAACCTGCCGACCTCACTGTGGTGACAACACTGCAGGAAGCTGCGCACAGTCACTGCAGCGACTGTTGTTCAACAAGAAATAGTTCCAGCACATAACCCTAAAACCACAAACCCTCATTTTTACATTTCTGTTTTTTATACATGAAACAAACATTATTAGTTACTGTACTTTAGAGGCGTTGGTAGGTGGATGTCTGAACTATAGTCTTTATTCTAAGCTAGGCTAACCATGTCCTGACTCCACCTCTGTACTTAACACAGTGATATCAGTTTCTTCAGTTCCTTCTCAGAAAGAAAAGAGAAGTTACCAAAAATGTTGAACTACTCCTTTAAATCAGCTGCCAGCGTTCTTCTAGTGGTTCAGTGTCAAACTGTTCTGCTGACCTGTGTGAATTTTTAAAGGGACAACTTGTTGATGTGTGTCCAGAATCAAGACATCCTCTCAAAGCAAACAGCTGAAACATGGAGGGAATGAATGCTTGTCAACCTTTTTGTTGTCGGCACACAGCTGAAACTCTGTGGACTCAAACTCCTCCCCCTCCAGGACCAAGCCGTCAGCGCTGGGCCGCTCCTCCATTAATCCCGTAAAGAAGGAAGTGACGGTGTCTGAAACAGCATAAAACAACAGTCTGTTATTTTACAGTAACATGACAGACACATGTTTATGGCAGAGATGATCATTCTCAAAGAGTGCAGTGTTTTTCCAACAGTTATTTGCTGCACCAAATGTGGATTAATACGCTGCTGAAAATAGTCCCCAACAAATGCACCGTTTCCTCCTGTTTGATTAAAAACTACAGTGAGCAGCTGTTTAAGGAAACTGCTCAACTGTTTTAAAAATGAAGCGATGAATTTGTGAGGAGTGGCCAGCGGGTTTGGAGCTGAGAGCCACAGAGAGAGGAGGGAAGAGAGGGAGTGTTGAGATGCCAACACATTGTTGGTTCGAGTCTGCACAAGAGATTTTGTTGACAATAAGAAAAGTATACACCGGCATTATCGTTTCATCTCTAAGAAAGACATTACAACATGATTCCCTGAGCGAGTCTTCATCAGAAAGAACAGGAAGAAAGAATAAACATAACGACTAGAGTAGGTGGAGTTAAAATACCTTTGATCTTGGAGAAGACGCTCTTCCCCTCCACCTCCTCTCCCTGTCTCCTCTTCATGCTCTTGTGGAACTCCGTCATCATGATCGTCTGGAAGATCAGGATCTTCACGCTGCGGACAAACCTCGGGTGCTTCTTCCTCACAAAGTCCACCACCGCTTCCACCATCGCGTCTGCCACCGCCGACGGGTTGGCCCCTCCCTGACCTAACAGGCAGACAAGGACCGGTGATGATGATGACGATGACGATGGTGATGATGATGTGAGGATGGACAAGACGATCAGGATGCAAAAACATCGTAGTCTTGAAACTCGATGGCAGTACAGACCAACAGTCTACAGTCCTGGTGTCTTAGAAATTATATTTCAATTGTTTTCTGATCAAAGTTTAAAGCTATTTCTCAAATTACTAATATACAATGTTTAGAGCCGAAACAATTACACGACCAACAGGAAACTGATCCTCAACTATTTTGAAATGTTCTAGTAACTTTTCAAGACATTTGAAGACGTCACGGACATTTCTCACAATTTTGTGACATTTTTTTTGGAGCAAAAGATTCATCAATGAAATGAGGAAAAAATCTACAGATTAATTAGCACAGAAAATGATCATTAGCTGCAGCCTTAGTGATATGATCAGTCTCATTAAGAAGAATATTTATATGAAGTGCTAAAGGTTCTGAACTAAATATCCAAACTCCAGATTATAAACTCATGACACGACAAGACTCGACATCCGTGCTCTGGAAAATTGGGATGTGTAATTTTTTAAAACTTTTTTCAGAACATCACAAATTAATTGTTTCTCTGAGGAGAACGTCCCAAAACCGATAGGAATCATCCTCTGATGATCATGATTCTCCTCTTACCATCTCTCTGTAATCTGCAGTTGTGTTACATTTCCCTACATTTGTCAGATGTACAGATGTAAGAGCTGGTCGAGAACGGTTTTACAGAACTCTGTGCCGTTTCTACTCAAAAAACATAAAAGCTATATTTAGGTTTTTGAGAGGATCTGGTTCATTTTGCTTGGCTGACAAACAGAATTTACTTTACATCTGCTTCTGTCTACTGTACCTGCACATCAGATCAAATGCAGCTTCTGTCTGTTCTAACGGAGCGAGGCGAGTGAAAAATACCCATCAACTGTAAAACCAAACCACGTGGAAGCAGTGAAATGATAGAAATGACAAAATGAACCAATAAACGGAGGAAACAAGTGAGAGGAAAAAGGGAACCAGAGATGTTGAGTCCCTACAACAGAAGGCTCTTCTTCAGATTACAGTTGTACATAGTTTTTGTCTGGACAGACCTGTTCCCAGGGCTGGGAAGGCGACAGAGTTGAACTTGTTTTCCTCGCAGGTCTTCAGCACAGAGTAAACCATGTCCTTGATCTTTGCAGGATCGTTCCGGCCGACGATGTGCATGATGTGTCTGCTGGGCAGGTTTCCAGCTGACGTCAAGATCATTGGACTAGACTGGTAATCTGGAGAGCTCACTTCAGAGAGGAACCAAACATCAGGTCAGACACAATTACATTTCACAGTAAAGCTACAGTCCAAACTGAATCAATCAAAGTATGTCCACTACAGAGCTTGTTCAGATTGTTATTAAGTGTCTAAGAGATAGACCTTTTGGTTAAAGAGTAAGTTCTTTTTGTTTAAAGGGAGATGCTGGACTCGATTGGTTAGTTCGTTTTTTTTTTATTGTGTGGTACGTTTACTCCTAAGTGAACGGTCTGAATACTTCCTCCATCATTGAAAGTAAAATAGCATTAAGACTAGCTGGAAAATATGTTTGGGAAAATCAAAGTTCAAAACCCCCCCCCCTCCCTCTG